GATTCTCGTGGGAACCCTGCTCGAGCTACGACTTCTGGTAATTATTCAACTAGCTTAAATTATCATACAAGTATTAATTGTATATACGTATATACACACGTATGCATGCATGTATTCATATGGATGTATGTTTGCTATATATATCCACTGCTGTCTCATTGCCGGTCAACACAATCTATGTTTGAACCTGTGAGACACTATAGCCTAATATTGCGACTAGATACGATTACATACATACATACATATATATGGTTATATATATTGCATTGAGCTAGAAATTATTTGAATATCGTTAATGCCCGGTTCTCATTTCACCCGACCTAAGTTGGAGATGAAGTCACCGTTGTTGGTAAGGATGGTTTAGGAAAACAGGATATATAGTTTCGTAACTAAGGATAATTTGTAATATGGTTGCATATTGCATGCATAACCTAGTGTGATTTTACACCAAACATCATCATGAGTGTGGAGTTCAAATTCTCAATCCAGCTACCAAGTTCCAATAATAATAATAATAATAATAATAATAAAAAAAGATAGTTTTTAATTTGTAATTTTGTATGGTATACAATGTCCTGAGATGGCCGTTGAGCGCGTATTTTTGTTTTTGCATCAAAGATCGGTTTAGGCTTTTCCCTTTTGGTTACAGATTTAGGTCCCTACCAATTAGCAATTACAAGCCAATTACTAATATGACTGACTTGCCTAAATAAAAAATTCAGGAGTTGTGCTACTGCCATGCCAATATGCTTGACCACTGACCAGACATCATTTATTAATTATACTTTTTTTTTAGTCAAATTCTATAGGAACACTAGGTAGATTCTTTTATTTATTCGTTTATTGTGTATTTATGTTGAAGGCGCTAGATTGGTCCACTTTTTTTTAAAGGAAAAATTTGGTCCACTTCATATCTTAAATGCTTAGCATTTCTCTTTTCTTTGTCAATTTCTTCTTTTGAGAATATGCCAATATTCTCTATTATAATAACCATGATATGTCATCCTTTATGGCAAAAAAGAAAAAAAAATTATGTTATTTAAATTTTTTCAAACTCTTTCTATAATTGATCAACATTATATATCTCTAAGTACTGTTACATATTTAATGTATTGCAACTCGAAGATATTTGATCTGTGATAGGCGATAGCCAAAAAGACAAAACAATAAAAAAAAAAAATTGAGATGAAATCCGACTAACAAATTTTGGCTGCGCAATTAGTCGTTTAATTTTGATGCTGGTTTTTTCCAAGGAAAACGATTTTGGTAATTCAAGTTCCCTTTTAACTGGCAGCAATTAATCTCATCAGAAGGAAAAAAGTTCATGTCATCATTGGAACGCTTACCATGCAAGAAGCAGCTTTAGTCTCCGAATTAACGGATAATAGTAAGACGACAAAGAATTTTTCTCTCATTTCGCTGACTTCACCAGCAATTTTAAGCCCAACACCAATGCCATTTCAGTCACCAATTCTCTTCCAAATGGCAAACGACATAGTTTTCCAAACGGATTGCATAGCCGCCATAGTTGGCTACTTCAATTGGCGAAAAGTCACAGCGATTTACGAGCACAACAATGACTTCTCCGCCGGCTCTGGCATTATATCCACGCTCTCTGATTCGCTTCGATCAGTTGATTCGGAGGTCGAACACCACAAGTCTTTTCCGTCCCTGTCTTCTCTTTCTGACCCCAAAACAGCAATAAAGGAAGAACTTAAGAAGCTGAAGAGAAAGAGCAACAGAGTGTTTATAATCCTCCAATTTTCTTTGGAGTCAGCCGTACTGCTCTTCGAAAAGGCAAAGCAAATGGGAATGATGGAAAAAGGGTATGTTTGGATCGTCGCGGACGAAATCACAAGCCTTCTTGATTCTGTTGATTCATCTGTTAAGTACAAGAACATGCAAGGTGTTATTGGGCTTAAAACAAGCTTTGTGGACACTACTGAGGCATTCAGACAATTCAAGAGTAGATTCAGAAGAGCGTACGGATCATACTATCCTGAAGAAGAAGAGAATTCGAGTCCCAGTATCTTCGCACTCCGAGCTTATGATGCAGTTACCGCCATTGCCAAAGCTGTAGGAGAATCACGGGGAAAAGCCATTACATCGAAAAGATTATCTGAAAACCTTTCGGCGATCGATTTCAGAGGCCTAAGTGGAGTGATAAAGTTCAAGAACGAGATGCTAGCACAATCACCGACCATTGAAATTATTAATCTGATTGGGAAAAGCTACAGAGAGATAGCCTTCTGGTCAGCACATCATGGTTTCTCGGAGAACTTTGTGGAAAAAGAATGGACTAAAACGAAAGAAACTAACGATGGTTTCGTTGGAGTGACGGGTCCAATCTATTGGCCAGGTGGGTGGCAAACAGTTCCAAAGGGTTGGACTTTTTCTAATGAAGATAAACCGATGAAGATCGCGGTTCCCGCGAATGGTGCTTTCCATCAATTTGTGAACCTGAGCTATGACCATGAAAGGAATGAAATCATTATCTCCGGGTTTTCGATTAATGTGTTTGAAGCTGCTTTGAAGCGTCTTCCTTATCAACTGGATTATGTGTTAGTCCCCTTCTATGATTCATATGATCAAATGGTGGAGCAAGTATATTACAAGGTACGAACTAAGATTAATGTCCTTCTGTTATGGATTACACGCCTTAATCATTTACTTGTGAAAACAATAAAATAAAGAAAAAACACACACACACACACACAAGATTTATAATTGTTCACCTTTTAATGTGAGAGTAACATTTCGATTAATAAGATTACAAGCGAATCACTACCTCGTGTCTCAGATGCTCAGTGTGTTTACTTAGTATTGTAGATTGTTCCATTTTTATAATGTGTGGAAATTAATTACCGGGTTCCAATGAATTCCCATCCCATGCACGCTCATATTACTTTACTCTTTTCTTTGAAAATTTGATTTCTAAGTTATAAAAATATGGTATAATCCATATGAAGATGTTAACAAAATTTCTTTTGTTGTTGGAAATTAGGGATTTGATGCAGCTGTTGGAGATATAGGAATCTTTTCTGATCGATTTCGGTACGTCGAGTTCTCGCAAGCATATCTTAGTGCAGGACTTCAGATGGTGGTCAGAGTAGAATCAGACAATGTAAAAGAAAGATGGATGTTCATGAAGGCCTTCACTAGAGGGATGTGGCTATGGCTGATGTTTATGCACCTCTTTGTTTGCTCTGTTGTCTGGTTAATTGAAAACTACCACTGCCAAAATCCTGAGCTCAAGGGCTTAGGAGCTATGCTATGGTTTTCTGTCACTGTTCTATTTAATGTCCAGAGTAAGTGTTGTAAAGTAAGACATGGCGTAATTAGTTTCTCTCACAATTCAAGTTTCATCTTATTCTTCAGCTTTATTTTACATCATATCACAAGCAAAATTTTTAGTTCCTCTAGTTTAGAAATAATTTTTTTCCCTTCTCGTCAAGATAATATCCCAAGTGATAATAAAGGGTTGTGAAAGGTTTTAATATTTGGAGTGACATCTTTAAAATCTTATTTAGTGTTAACAATGTTGCTAAGTTTTATATTTTGTAAGTTGCATCATTTGAACGTTAATATTTAGAATCAAAATTCTTTTATCTTATAGTTTTGATGTTAACACAGTTTCTCATAATTACAGAAGAGCCAGTAAAATGTAATTTGGCACGATTTGTCTTGGCACCATGGTTGTTTGTAATTCTAGTTGTAACGACTAGTTTCACTGCAAGCCTCACCTCGATGCTGACTGTTTCCCAATTCAAACCATCAGTGTCCGACATTGAAACATTACGGAAAACAAATGCAATGGTTGGTTGCAATGGGAATTCTTTTATCGTAAGATATTTAGTCAATACTTTGAACTTTAAGCGAGAGAATGTCAAGAACATGTCCTCTATGGATGACTATCCTGACGCATTCAAAAATGGAGATATTGCGGCGGCATTCTTTGGTGACGTGCACGCAGATGTCTTCCTTGTAAAATATTGCAAGGGCTTCATAAAGGCGGGACCCAATCACAAACTTGGTGGTTTAGGCTTTGTAAGTACTTTTAACTTATAATTTTACTCCCAAAAGAATTAGGATACACCGTGAGCTCCTAAATCCCACAGAAATAGAGAGCACTCTATTTTGTGCGGAGTTAGGGACTCGCGGTGCTCCTTATTAGTTTTCTTTTGCTTCTTCACTTTCATATGGTCGTCATTATCCAAACTTTGAATATAATGTTTGCCTTTGTCTCATGGATCTCGAGCTCCCTCAATATGTTGCATCCACCTACTATGCAATTATGGGAGAAGCAATGAGATTGATGGGCCAAAACTTCCCACAATATATGGTTATTCTATTTTAAGAGGAGGGGTTTAAGCCCCGTTTATTTTACCGATTTGAGTTTAGAATTCAAGTTTTATTATAATAAAAAGCTCTAAAAAATAATCACATTTAGCTTTTTTACTACAGGTAAAAATTTTCACATAAAATCACTTATTAATTCGAATTAAAAACTCAAATTAGTGAATTACATGAGTTCTTAATTTATCAATTAATTGTACTTTTGTCATCCTAATATTGTATCCCAGGCTTTCCCAAAGGGTTCACCTTTATTAGTTGACATTTCAAAGGCAGTTGTTGAAGTGTCCGAGAGTGGAATAGTGGAAGACTTGAAAAATACCATGCTAAGCTCTTTTAACTGCACATCCACCCTCACCTGGGGCAGCAAGCCAATAGGTCTCGAGCCTTTCTCTAGTCTATTTATAATTTCAGGCGCTATTGCAACCTTCACTTTGTTAACTACATTCGTGTGTCTTGCGGGCAAGCGTTTAGATGACTTGACCAGCTGTATACAGATTATGTTGTTAAAGAAAGGGTTTTGGAGATGGGCTTATATATACTTTAGTAGTAGAAGGTACCGCTCAAGAACAATACCAAATGTTTGAAGACATAGGTCGTGGCTCTAATATATAAGCGGGGGGAGAGAGAGAGAGAGAGAGCCACTAATGAAACTTTGATGCAGCTTTCCGACGGAGGATAGGGGGGGAAGAGAAAGAGAAAGAGAGGAAGAGAGAGAGAGAGAGAGAGAGAGAGAGAGTATATTAGACCCACTAATGAAACTTTGATGCAGCTTTCCGAGCAATTCATCAATGTTTTCTTTTCCAATCAATTAGGTAAATAGACATTTATAGAAATTAGCGAAGTATAGATATAAAATTTTGATTCGATCACGAGTACAAGTGAAAACTCTTTTAAAAGGATCAAGAGTACCAAGTGTGGTTGATGATGCAATTATCAAATTGTTATGTGATTATTTACTGTCAATAATGTTTCACACTAGAAATAATCATTTTGCAGTAATGGAGTCTAGAAGAAAAATATCTCATCTTGATGTCTCGTTGTCTTGGGGTCCGCTTGGGCTACATTTTTCTACAATTACTCAACGTTTTATTAAATGCCGGCCAATCACTTTTGTATTACTTTGTTGATAGATGATATATTAGTCTTAATAAATGGATGCCAAATTGAATTTATTGTGATATTAAAAAAAAAAAAGTCAATCGGAATGGGCCCATGATATATGAGTTTTTTTATTATTTATTTATTTATTTTTTTTTTACAATTGTCTCAAAGTGGTAACTTTTAAAATTTGTACAAATAATCCTTAGTATCTATCATCTGCACTCATTTAGAAAGTAAACATTCATACTTTAAATATGGATTGAGTGCGTTACATTTGTGCACGTCGATGTTTCTGCCATCTTTGATTTAGGACTTTGACGCAATGCTTTATTAAATTCATAATAATTTTTTAAAATTTAGATTTTCAATGAGTAATTTGTCAATTCGCAAAACGTTAAAAAGATTAGAAGTAATAAGTGTCAAATCTAAAAAATTAAACACGTAAAAAATATGTCTCGTCACTCGTCAATAATACTTATTTATTCTATTCTATTTAATTTTGCCCGTAAGGTTCACTTTTAGGTTGAGAGTAGGTGTCGCGAATCCGGCCTTGAATTCCTCGATAGATTTTGAGGGACCATAAGGATATAAGAGATTTTCTGACAACCACGTGTCGCTCTATCAGTAGTCAGATATCCCAAACCCAGCACACACACTTACATGAATAAAAATAAAATTTAAAAATTAAAAAAAAAAATCTGTCAAAAACCTTTTGCTAATCTCACCTCCCTCCCAAAAGACCTCGCCAATCACCTCCCTTAAAAGAGACACGTCATCCCATACACCGACACAGTCACGGGGACAGATTATATGCACTTTACAAGGTCCGTACGCATTTTCAACTCCCCAATCCCATTTTCCAAGGCCTTCTCTTCCCTTCCTCGCCGACACGACACAAGCTACTCGCCAGTCGCCAACACACCAAATTTCCCTCCTCTCTTTATTTTTCGTTTTTATTTATTTTTTTTGTCTCTGTATCTGTAATTAAAAGTCAGAAATGAATAAAATAATAGAATATAAGAATTTGCCTCCAAGATTCCAGTTCATGCGAGGAAAACGATGGCGTCGATCGCACTCAATTCCCCAGAAGCAAGTACAATACTTTTACAAATCCAAGCAAACCACAAATCACACCTTAATAAGACAGCCTTGCTAGCCATATATATAAATGTAAATATATACACACACACACACCAACATATATATATATACACACACACACACACACACACACACTTGATATGTGCCAGTTCATAGCCTTTTAAGCTCGTACTCCTACCTCTCTGTATTTCGCCCAAACTGTAACTGGATCTCTCCTCGAAACTAGGGTTTCAAGTGAAAAGCTCGTCGATCTCTGGAAATGCTTCTTGACTGATTCACTATTTGTTCAAGAGATTCTCTTGGTGTGCTTGGTTGATCTCGATTGGGGGCTCTGAGAATGGACGGTGGAGATAGAACGGTTAGGTTGGGGGCTCTGAACCTGAAGGCGGATCGGGGCGGATTTGATTCGGGTCCGGATGTGTCCGTTTCGTCGCCGGTGACGAGGCAGAAAGCCGCGGCGGCCAAGCAGTTCATAGAGAATCACTACAAGAACTATCTACAGGAATTGCAGGAGCGCAAAGAGAGGTATGCATTTTGTTTTTTCTTTTTTTTTTCATCGATTCGTATCCGTGTTGACTTTTTTGTGTTATTTTGTTCAATATGTCTTCGCCTTGATGAATTCTGGATTTGGCAACTAATTATATTGGTTGAAATCCTGTGACATTAATTAGATTCTGTTTTTGTATCTAGGTATATTAAGGAGTTGATCAAATCAAATGATTGGCAAAGTCATATAATCATCAAGTTCAGAATAATAATTTGTTAGAAATTTAATGAAGTTGCTTTTTCATTATTTGCAATTTTTTGTTACTCTTTCAGACGGCGTGCACTTCAGAGAAAGGCACAAGAGGCTGAGATATCTGTGGAGGAACAAGAGCAGATGCTGAGGAATTTAGAACGCAGAGAAACTGAATATATGAGGCTACAAAGACGTAAAATTGGAATTGATGACTTTGAGCAATTAACTGTAATTGGTAAAGGTGCATTTGGTGAGGTATAGAAAACTTGCAATCTAACATCTTATGCAAGGATTATGAATGTTCTTGTTGAGTAAATACTAATTATGATATGCACTTTATAAAACAATAGAGTAGTCAAATAAGTAATGTTCCCCTGTTAATTATTTTTGTGAAGCCTATTTACTATCTCTTGTTTTTAATTAGCATGATTATTAAATTTGAATGGGTAATAATTAATGGGAGTAGAATATTATGGGTGCGTTTGGAACTCGTTCCAAAATGATTTTATTTTTTGCATGAAAATGAAAATGAAAACGTTTTCAATCTCAGACATAAATCATTTTTGAAAATGCGTTTGGTAGTTTTATCAAGAGATTGTTTTCAGCATAAAAAAATCCATTAATGTCTCTTTTTCTCTCTCTTTACTCGAGAGAGGAGAAAATAGAAACAAAAAATGAAAAACGAATAAAAGTCGTTTTTCATTTTTCTCTTATTTTACACTAAACTAAAAAATCGTTTTCAATTTTGTTTTGTCTTTAATTGTGCCAAACGCCGTTTTTCTCCCATTTTCATTTTTTTTTTCTCCGAAAACGTGAAAAATAAAAACAAAACCAACTTCAAATAGGGCCTATATGTACCGCATTTTTGTCACGAGATTTATGTTAGGTAATTGTCTCAAATTGGTTTTGGAAAAGTAATTATTTTGTATTTTTTTAGGTAAGTTATTGTTTTTCTGTTTGTAGGCAAAAGTTATTTTATGGCTCATAGGAGTCTATAAATAAGTCGTTCATGTAGGGTTTTGTGTGCTTAGAGGGATAAGTGCAGAGAAAGAGCGTCTCCTTTTGAGAGAAAGAGAGAAAAGTGAGGAGAGAGATAGGCAAAGGTGTAAGGGGTTTTGAGTAGAGAGAGAAAATGAGAAAGTTTGTTGAGTATGTAATTCTGTAACTGTTAGTGAATTTTTTCTTCCTCTCCTGAACCAAATAAATCTTTGTCTTATCTATTTTTTTTGTTATTTTTTGTTTCAATTTATTTTTTTTGCTGCGTGACTGTAGGGGTGTATTTTTCCTCAACAATTTATTCACCATGCTTTATATATATACATACATATATATAATATATGTTGATAGGACATTATGCTTTATGAATGCAGGTGAGGTTGTGTCGGGCGAAAAACACAGGAGAGATTTTTGCTATGAAGAAATTGAAGAAGTCAGAGATGCTTAGCCGTGGACAGGTGACAAAAAATTATCCAATATATAAAAATCTACTTTTGCTTATGAGGACAGAGGATGCTTTTTAATACTAAAGATATCTCCCCTTATCCTTAAGAAATTTTATGAACAATTGAAAGTATTGGTTACATAAGTAATTGAAAGTACCTCTAAAGCTATATCTTATCTGGTCAATGTTCTCTTGAATCCACATGAAAACGAGGAAGCTAATGAGAGGCTTGGGAGAAAATGATAACATTCTATATAGAGGAGAATCACTTAACGGAAAATAAAATAAGTTCTGGATTTATTTTGCTTGATCTGAAACTTCAAATATACCAATTTTGTTGGTGTTCATCAATTGCTTATTGCCTGCTTTCTTTCGACAAATTAGGTTGAGCATGTCCGCTCCGAGAGGAACTTGCTCGCTGAGGTTGATAGCCGCTGCATAGTTCAACTCTTTTATTCCTTTCAAGATTCTGATTTCTTGTATCTTATCATGGAGTATTTACCTGGTGGTGATATCATGACCCTATTGATGAGAGAAGATGTTCTTTCTGAAGATGTTGCATGTTTTTATATTGCGGAAAGTATTCTAGCCATTCATTCAATTCATCAACACAACTATATTCATAGGTATGGCAATCATGTGTTGCTTCATTCAACCAACCCTGAACATTCTATTCCATTCCGTTTAACAACATAATTTACTTTCTCATAAATGAGGTGTATAACCTTTTAAGAAAAAGGAAAAGAAGAATGATAATAAGTACAAAAATTCACAAATTGATTACCGGCTTCATCTTGGAGCATGTCTCTATTTATGTATAAAATAAAAAATGGTCTTAGCATTCTGTTTTGATACTTTGAGCTAATATGAAATCACAATCAGGCCTGTTCCTGGTCGAGCAATTTACCGCCCTGTTCTTCTAAATTTGGATAGTAGTTTCTTGGTTAGATGGTTCAAGGTGGCTGGAGGCCGGATTGGTCTCCACCTTTCCTATTGAAGTATAGAACTGGGAGACCTTTCCATTTTTTGATATATACATCTGAATATTCCAGTAACTTTTAGATGCGTTTTTCTTATTTACCATCTTTATCCATATAGACTGTCCTATTAAGGTATACTTGGATTCCAAAAACAGATTGTGGAACATTTTTTATTTTTTGTTTCTGCTCTATTTATACTTTAGTGGAGTTTAATTCAGAGATCAATAAAAAGATCTAGCTATTTCCTTTGTATAAGAGCGTACATATGCCTTGTGCGGACACACATCTATTGTCCATGAGTAAAATAAGTATCCTGTCGCTCACTTTGCTAGTACTCTGTTCACAGGGACATAAAACCGGACAACCTGATATTGGACAGAAATGGCCATTTGAAACTTTCAGATTTTGGCTTGTGTAAACCTCTCGACGACAAGTATTCGACAATGCTATTGGAAAATGAAGATTTAATGAACCAGGAAACCATTTCTGAAAATGAAGGAAAATCTGCCAGTGATAGAGTCCCTTGGTTGATGCCAAAAGAAAAATTACAGCAATGGAAACGCAATCGCCGTGCATTGGTATTATTATCATTGTGGTTTTATTTATTTATTTATTTATTTTCTCTATTCCCACTTTTCCTCTTTGTTTTTAAACTCTTGCAATAATTTAGTTCTGGTGTGACCATACATATGTTAGTGAACCTATTTAATGGTTATTTGTGGCTGTTGTTTGTTATTGCTAACATCTATATCCTACAGGCCTTTTCAACTGTTGGGACTCTTGACTATATGGCTCCTGAAGTGTTGCTCAAGAAGGGGTATGGAATGGAGTGTGATTGGTGGTCACTTGGGGCAATTATGTACGAAATGCTTATAGGTTATCCTCCCTTCTGTTCTGACGATCCAAGGATAACATGCCGCAAGGTAATCTAAGAGTTGTGGTTCTCAGCTATATCACAATTATGTTCCGATATTTTTTAAATAAATGAATGATCTTTCTTTCTTTGGCAGATAATCAATTGGAGAACATGCCTGAAATTCCCTGAGGAACCAAAAATATCAGATGAGGCTAAGGATTTGATCTGTCATTTGTTATGTAATGTTGAAACAAGGTTGGGAACCCGAGGAGTAGACGAACTAAAGGTAACTGCCTTTGAAGAAAAAGCAATGTTCTTTACTGGTATCAGGAAACTTCAGAAAATTAATTCTCAACTTCATAAATTGGTAGTTTGTTTGGTCAATGCAAGTCTAGAATAGTTTACTGTTCCTACTTTGCAGTTGTACGTTTAGGGGTTAGAGTTTGGCTCTCTTCTAAGATGAAGTTTTTCTCAGGCACATCCGTGGTTCAGATGCATTCAATGGGACAGACTTTACGAAATGGAAGCTGCGTATAAACCTACAGTCACCAGTGACTTGGACACGCAGAATTTTGAGAATTTTCCTGAAGTGTGTAAATTGAAATTCAATGCTTTCAGTCCTTTCTGGGATTAAATACTTTATAAAAATGCACAAAGTGCTTGCAAGTCTGATTATCTTTCAAGTTTCAACACAAGTTATGTAACTAAGCCTTGGTCTTAACTTGTGGGAACACATCTGTTCCACTAAAAACTGAATCTTGTTTAAATACTGGTTCCACAGTTTAGAAGTTCTTATCTTAATACTTTTCTTAAATAAGAAATCCATGCTAAAGCTTTGCTGTTGGTTTCTTCCCTCTGTCTCTTAATTCTTTTATAGGTGGAGGGCCAGCCGTCCACAATTCCAACAGTGGGACCTTGGCGGAAGGTAATGTTCACTTTTGATGAAATTTGAATCTCGAAATCTGGCTCAGCGAATATCAAATTCTAGTGATATCGTGCAATTGTAAATTGATTCTTCTTCAGGGATAGAGAACTTATTGTCCTGTTTGGTTTCTTACAATGCTAATTCTTAAGAATATACGCAACCAACAAGAAGATGATAGAATCATTGGTGTGTTTGTCCTATAGCTTATTAAGGTGCTCCTTCCATTCTAAAACTTTACATCATCGAATGATTGGAAGTTGGAACCCTAAGTTGTAGAAAAAATATTTACACAGGCAGATGTTGTAGAAAAAACATATACGTGGTTCTTCAAGTTAAATGGATAATGTGTGTTCTTCTTTGATGTTGCAGATGTTGACATCTAAAGATACTAATTTTATTGGATATACTTTCAAGAAATCAGATGTCCTTAAATCACTTGAAAATTCAGGTATGCGCTTGTAGTTGAATATCTTCTACACCATTGAATGGACAAACATAGCAATCTATTCTTTGACTGCACTTCTGTGTCAGAAAATACATTGCCTTAAATTTTAGATATACAATAGCTTACGGGTAGCCACCTAAGTCAGGGCAGCATACCAAGTTAATTCATTCTCCTACGATGAGACTTTAAAGAGGACACTACTATTTTGCCTCAACTTAAAATGTCAGATTATGACGAGTACCAATTCTAGTACGTATTATATGGTTAAACATTGGCCTTTGGTTAAGTGTAGCTCTTCTACCTAAATTTTTTATACATCCCTTAGCGCAACTCAACAGAAAAAAGGAGAGAGAACTCTGTAACATTCGAGACTGTCAGGTTTAAGAGGCAATTCCAGCCACAACAGTAGTAGAGGACCTCGTACTGCAATAATTTCTAGTATGTGTACCGGAGAGGTTCCACTACGAATGTGAATTCATAGGTTTTCTTTGTGTACTACTTTCTTAGATGGAAAGCTAAATTAGTAGATTAGGTACAAATGATATGGTAATTATAAGGAAAGAGCGCTCGCATGACATCAAATGAAGCCTTCATATTATTAATTTATGTAAGACTCGTATTTTTGTTCTAATTGCAGGTACATACATGAGATCAAATGAATCTTCAAAGGCTCCCTCTCTAATATCCTTGTTAGGTATGACTAACAGTGATTGATTTAATCCTACTTTCTGATAGAGTATGGTCTAATATCACGTATGTGACAACTGGGAGTAGTATGGTGAACATTGATCCTTCTTTTCGTAATTAACATGTGGTGATCCCAATCTAGCAGAAATTAATAATAAAAAAAAAATGCAGTTACAGAGTGGTCCGACATCCTAGAGTAAACTAACTAGTGTGTAGGGGCATATACGGCTTTGGAAGATCACATCAAGAAATTAAGTTGCTATACAGAAGATGTGCTCTGATGATGATTGTTATCCCAACTTTGGAAATCGGACTAGCGAGAATTTTGTGCAGCCATCAACTATAATCTCAAAAGATATTTTGCCGTGATAATATTTAGTTAATTTCAATAATACATATGATCACTTGGCATTAATTCTGGAGTATTGTCCCAGTGTAGCGCCTAACTCTTGTGTGTCTAAGTTGCTCTCAACATACTTTAGCCGAGAGATTGATTGTATCCTTCTTTCTCACATTCGTTTAAGAAATGTCTAATTTATGTTGGTTGTAAATACTTAAAAAGACTCAATGCTCTATCCTGAAACCGTATATGAAATTTTGTGCAGCTTTTGGGCGGTCAATGTTAGTTTTGCCATAAGTTGCACTTGTGCTTGCCATAAGTGATCAACTTGAAACTTGATATTCATATTCTTGACTTGTTTTCTAGCAGAACGGTAAAAAGTTGACCTATAATTTCGCTTTCTGATACAGGTCGGATTGACTTGCAAGAAACCGTGATATCAGAGGGTGAGCAGAAGCAGGAAACGTGATTTTTCTACAAGAGTTGGTGACAATAACTTCTCTGTGCACAGTCAGACAAGCTGTTATAGAAGACTTGAACGACAAAATTGCTGCCTGGTGGCGCGAATAAAGAGTTCACCTTTAAGTGTTTATACAATCTTGGGGGCTATTCTTTCTTTTTCGACCAAATTACTAGACAAAAGATAAACGTGACGTGGTAAAGCCAATAATTATTAGGTTCAACGTGAACCAACCATTTTCTTTTTAATCGTACAATCTTATCAAAAACGAAGATAAGGTTTCTCTTTTCTTTTTTTTCTTTTTTTTCTTTTTTTTTTGTTTTTTTTGTTTGGAAAATCTCTTATTTGTATTTACAATGCTTAAAGTAGGATCAATTCACGAAGTTTTGTTATTAATTTGGGATATACGTGTAATACATTTTTTATGCGTTTTTCTACATAGAAGATTGCACAAATCATCAATATTCATCGTAGTTTTGCCATGATTTTATTTTCTTCCTTTTGAAATGTTGAAAGCAAAACAACTATGCTTAAGCTCTCTGTTTTGCTGACAACAGACATGCGACTGTGAGTGTTCCATCATGATTCAGCAGTGCGACGTAAATAAAATTAGTCACATGGTCATGTTTTAATTGGTATTTAACTAATCATATCGTGTCACATTATGTAAAAAAAATTAAATTATTTTTTAACTAATACTTTTGTTCTTATTTCATAGAATGATACGGTATAATTTGATTAGTTAGACACCAATTGAGACACTAAAAATTAAATAGAAAATATGGATCTAATTTAACTTTTAATTGTTTTGTCACATAGTTGTGTTACACGAAAGCGTCTACCATCTATCATATTATACTAGTTAAAAACTTACGCTTGACTCATTTAAAATAATAGTTATACAAATAGTGAGGGAAAAAAAAGAAGAGAAAAGAAAGGATATAATAAATAGAGACTAAAGTGAGAAAAAAAGATCTCAAACAAAAGGCAAGGAAAAAAAAAGACAAAAAAAAAAAAACTTAAGAAAAAACTTATGCTAAATATTTCGCTATTAAAACTGAAATGTATGAGGATTATAAGTAAAATGTATTTAAGTATAGACTCATTTGAAAATAAATTAATTTAGCAAGGTAATTAAAAAAATATTTTAAATAACCATAAGAAAGTATTTAAATGAAGTATATTTGAAAATATATCAAAATTAACAATTAAAACATGCAATAAAAAAGTAAGGGGAAAAAAAGAAGAAAAGAAAAAAAAAACTAAAAAGAAAAGTTAAAAAGAAAAAAGGAGCGTCTTTAATAGTCTCTGGATAAATAGACTACTATTTATATCAAAATCAATTTATTTTACATATATTTTTAGCATTCACATTTATATCAAAATTAATCTATTTTACATATATTTTTTAATTTAATGTAATTTTAATAATATATAACGGTAAAAAATTAGGCCTACCATCCCCCGGAAGAGGTCCCAAAGAAAAAAGGAGAAAAAATTACAAAAAAGTAGGTGTTGTAATGAAACGGGGGCAAAAAAATAAAAAAATAAAAAATTGATTCTCGCTTGGGAGCTGGGAATGTGCAACCCCGCCCCGTTATGTTATGGAAGAATTTAACTTATTGTTGGGCTGGTTATTCAGAGCCAGCAATTGGCTGCCGGATTTCGCTATACAACTAGAAGAAGATTGCTTCGGGGGTCACCATTTGCGCAGATCAGAACCTTATAAACAATGTTTGTAAATAGAGTTTTTAACTTTTAATTGTTTTATGACATATTTGTGCTAAGCTAGAGTGTCTTCTTCTGCATTTCGAGAAGGCTTTTTTGACACAATTGTCATATAAATTTGTGATGATTTAACAAATTATCTCTTAAATTTTTAATTTTGACAAGTTACCTTCTGAACTTATAAATTTATTGCAATGTGTCCCATTTAATTAAATTTGCTCAAATTTTTTTATTAGATTTAAGAGATTAAAAGTTGAGATATTAAAAGATTTGTGTTACATTTAAATTAGAATGTTAAATTTTTTGACTGAATGTTCTTTTTTGATACTAATTTAATACAATCATCTTTAAAACTGGGCACATTGCAATAAGTTTACAAGTTGATAAGACAACTTGATAAAATTAAAGGTTTAAGAGCTAATTTATTAAATCACGACAAATTTAAGGAATAAATGTGCTAAAAACTCTTTGGAGAAATATGTTGGGCACCATTTCTACCGAATAAGAGAGACTATAAAATCTTTTGAGAAACTTAAACTCCATTCATTTTACTGATTCGAGTTTTGTTACAGTAAAAAGCTCTTAGAAACAGTTACATCTAACTTTTTACTACAGTAAAAAACTCTCACATAAAGTCACATATCAATTCAAATTAAAAACTTAAATCAATCAACTAAACATACCTTAGTCCTTTAAAAAAAAAGAGTCTCATATGTTCTTTAAATTATAGCCTTAGACTTAAGTTGAATGATAAAACCAAACTATATACGAAAAAATAAGATAAAAATACAAAAAAGACAAAAGCTTTTTTTTTTTTATTTTTTTTTTAAAGAAACGTTCGCACGAAACTGTTGAAAAAATGCTTAAGTTGGGATATATTTGTAAAAAAAAAATTAGTTTAACAGAGATAAATTAAGAAAGAAAAAAAAAAGCTTTTTTAGAGGAGAAAAATAAGGCAAAATAAAAAATGACAAGAAACAAAAAAGGGATTAGAATTATAAAAAAGATAAAAGCATAGAAAAAAAAAGATTAGAAATATTAAAGTTTGATTATGTAGTTCATTTTAAAACTGAGATGTGATTTATTTAGAGTCGTTTCGAAGTGATCAAACCCTATTATAATGTCATTAGTTAAAAAAATTATCTCCCTTATTGAATAATGAATACATTTATATTATCTAATCATATGAGTAACATCCGATTTTTTATTCTAATTTTATCATGTATATTTTTTAAGTGGTTTTTCAATAAAATTATGCTATCACTTAAAAAAAAAAAAGTAAAAGCGAAAAAAAAAATTCACCGTAAAGTAAAGATAAAGAAAAGAAAAGATAAAAGATGATAATTGATACGCTATTGAGATTTCTTAAAAAATCTCATGGTTGGCCTCTTCATCAGAAAATAGACATAAAGAAAGAGTCTGTTTAGTTCGTTAATTTAAATTTTTAATTTAAATTAAAATATAATTTTATATAAAAATTTTTTATTGTAATAAAAAAAATTAAATGTGACTATTTTTAAAATATTTTTATTATAATAAAATTTAAAATTTAAATTTAAATTGATAAAATAAACGGAACACAATAAATATATGAAATTATAATTTTTCTTTTTTTTTAGTAAAGTCTTTAACAAGGAAAGAGGAGATATTTTGGAAGGTGCAACAAATATCTTGTGGCGTAACTTTCTACCAAGAAAACAAATATCTTGTGGCGCTTGGCGACTTTTGTCTAAGCAGTTACTACTGAGGTGACGTGGCACAAATGTGGACCCATGACACATGTAAAAGCAATGACAACTGTAACGTTCTTTTGTCCCGACCGCCAACCCAACACCCCAAAAGCGCACATTCCCCTCTCTCTCCTCCAATTCTGAATTCTTCCCCTCTCTTCCCCTCTCTCTCCTCCAATTCCAAATTTAGCCGCTACCAAATAAATATCTGTCCTTCAATCTTATTTTCTTTTTATTTTTATCGTAAATATACAGATAATTTCTTACCAAAGATCAAACAGACAAGGTTTGATTTGCAGATTTCTGGGTTTTCTGGTATGAGGCCAAGCCGGTTGACTTCTCCGGACGGCCCTTCTTCTAGCCCGGTACTTTCTTCTTCCTTCTCTCCATAATTCATTTATTTTTGTTTTTGGTTTTATTTACTTTTTTATATTTTCGGAGAACATGAACATAACTTTCTGAAAATTGTACCGTCATGCATGCAGTTCGTGGTTTTACATGAAAGGTACAGATATTAGATAGGGCGGGTTATGAGATTTTTTTTTTCCTTTTTTCTTGATTTTGTTTCCGTTTAAGCCGAAAGTTTTGATTTTTTTGAATAATTTGGAGTTTATTCCTGTCGTTTCTACATGGGTTTGTTCCATTTTGTTTGGCTAGTAATAGCTTTCTACTTTCGTTTTAGATAAACGTTTACTGGTTTACTTATGGAAACAGATCTAAGTGTAGTGCCAACATTAATACACGCAGCTAAAAAAACTAAATAGAAGTAAAAGGTTGGTTGTTGTTGTTGTTGTTTTTGTGTCTTTTTTTTTTTTAATTTTTTGGATTGGGAGGTGTCACTCTGTTATTTATCAGTTGAAAATGGCTTGAAGATATCTTGGTTTTTTTTGTTTTTTTTTGTTTTATGGTGAAACTTGTGTATTAGAGTGCTGCTGTGGAATCGCCAGAACCCATGTCTGTGGAGTGGACAGATGAGAAGCACAGCTTGTACCTTAAATCAATGGAAGCTTCTTTTGTTAATGAATTATATGATTCCATGGAGTTTCTTAGATGGTATCCCCAAATGAAGCATCTCTCTCATGTCAAATCCTCAAAGCATACTAACCCCCGTGCCACTCCCTCCCAGGTCTCTCCCTAATCCTTTTTAGTTGTTATTATCAGTTATATATTTGTGGTGTATATATATGGGTGTGTGTGTGTGTGTGTGTGTGTACAGAAAAGAGTCGTGTTGTATGTATTTCTTGTCTCAGTACTTTTTTTTTCTTCTTTTTTTTTTTTTTTTTTTTTTTGTTTTGGTTTTTTTTTTTTTTTTTTTTTTTTTTTTTTTTTTTTTTTTTTTTTTTTTTTT